CAGCTGCTCCCCAAGGCAGGGGAGCTGGCACGGCAGCCCCCCACCCACCCTGAGGAGACAGAGGAGGAGCTGACGGAGCAGCAATCACCCCCTCCAGGCGAGGGGGGGCCCCCTGGCCCCCCCCTCACCCTCATCTCCCCGGAGGCTGAGGACCCCCCGGAGCAGCTGCAGGACCCCGAGGGCTGCCAGGGGACAGGGGACAGCGAGGATGAGGCTGAGGGCGCCGGGTACCCCAACGTCACTGAGCTGGGGGTCACCTACAAGCAGGTGAGATTTTGGGGGGGCCCAAATCCCCCCAGACTCCTTAATTCCCCCCCACAAGCATCCTGTGCATCCCTTGCCCCCACTCTGCACCCAGCTGTGTGTCCTCCCCCCATTTTTGGGGTGATGCCGCAGTGATGACTTGGAAGGGTCGGTGACTCATCCCTCCCTCTGCATCCCCCCGTCCCCGCCACCCCTGCACCATGACCCCCCCGTTCCCTGCCATGACTCATCCCCCATCCCCCCCCTTGGCCATGGGGGCTGATGGGGGGTCATGTTGGGTGTCCTCCCCCAGGTGTACCCCGAGGCACCGCTGCAGCTTTACCCCACGCCCCCTCTGGGGGTCCTGGCACTGTCCCACCCGGCCCTCGCCCGCACCCAGTCGTCCCCCGCCAGCGTCAAGCCCCCTGTGCCCGAGGGGCCCCCCAAGCACCTCTTCACCACAGGTACAGGGGCAACGGGGGTCGGGGTCCCTCTGTCCCTTGGGGTCCCACATCCCTCAGGGTGCTCCTGTCCCATGGGGTGTCACCTGTCCCATGGGATCCCCCTGGCCCTGTGTCCCATGGGTGCCCCATCCCGTGGTAGACCCCAGGGACGTCTGTATCCCCCCACCCTGAGTGTCCCATTCCTTGATGCGGTTGGGAGTGACCCTGTCCAATGGGGTTCCCAGTCTCTCAGGGTGTTTGGGGCCTCCCTGTCCCCAGGGGATGGGGATGTTCCCCATCCTTCGAGGTGCCTGTGTGCCATGGGCCCCTCTCCCAGATGGTTTCCCATCCCTCAAGGTGTCTGGGATTCTCCCTGTCCCCTGGGGTTCCTAATACCTCAGGGTGCCCAGGTATCTCCATATCCCATGGAATCCTCCTGTTCTGGGGTTCCCAATTGCTTGGGGTACCCGTGGGCTTTCCCTGTCCCTTGGGGTTCCTATTCCCTTGGGTTGCCCAGGGATCCTCCTATTCCACAGATTCCCCCTGTCCCTGGGGGTTCTCAATTGCTCAGAGTGCCCAAGGGCCCCAATATCCTATGGGATCCCCCTTATTCCATAGGTTCCCTCTGCCCCTTGGGGTTCCCAATCCCTTCGAGTGCCCAGGGTTTCCCTGTTCTACAGATTCTCTGTTCCTTGGGATTCCTAATTGCTCAGAGTGCCTAGGGGTCCTCCTATTCCACAGATTCTCCCTGTCCCCTGGGTTTCCCAATCCCTTGGGGTGCCCAGGGTACCCCTATACCACAGATTCTCCCTGTCCCTTGGGATTCCCATTTGCTCAGGGTGCCCAGGGTTCCCCTAATCCACAGATTCCTCCTGTCGCCTGGGATTCCCAATCCCTTGGGATGCCCAGGGTTCCCGTATTCCATGAGCTTCCCCTGTCCCCTGGGTTGCCCAATCCCTTGGCGTGCCCAGAAGTCCTTCTATTCCACAGATTCCCTGTCCCTTGGGATTCCCAGTTGCTCAGGGTGCTCAGGGGTCCTCCTATTCCACAGATTCCCCCTGTTCCCTGCTGTTCCCAGTCCCCCGGGGTGCCCAGGGGACCCCCAATCCCATGGGATCCCTCCATCCCCTGGGGTGCCCATGTCCCTCAGTGACCCAGCCCTGGGGGTTGCCAGGGTCCGGTGCCAGGTGTGCTGCTGGCACAGGCGTGGTGTACGACACGTTCATGCTGAAGCACCAGTGCACCTGTGGGAACACCACGATCCACCCGGAGCACGCCGGCCGCATCCAGAGCATCTGGTCCCGGCTCCAGGAGACCGGCCTGCTCGGGAAGTGTGAGGTAAGGGGAGCACCCCGTGTCCTGGGGGGGAGTTGGGGTTGGCTTGGGGAGAGGGGGGCTCACCCCTGTGCCCCCTTTGCCAGCGGATCCGGGGCAGGAAGGCGACGCTGGAGGAGATCCAGACGGTGCACTCAGAGCACCACGCGCTGCTCTACGGCACCAGCCCCCTCAACCGCCAGAAACTGGACAGCAAGAAGCTGCTGGGTGGGTGTTGGGGGGGCCCTGAATGCCTGGGACCCCCCTCTTTTGGAGCTGGGGTCACCCTGTACCCCCTATTCCTTTGGATCTGCTCCCTGGGGTGCCCTGTCCCTTTAGATGTCCAGGAGAGCCCGTGTCCTGTGGGGTGTCCTTATGCCATGGGATGCCCCAAACCTTAGGTGTCTCAGGAGTCCCCAGTCCCATGGGATTCTTCTGTCCCATGGGGTTCCCAATCCTTTGGAGTGGCTGGAGTTCCCCTCATCCTGTTGGTTTCTCTTGTTCCCTGGGGTTTTCAATCCTTTTGGGGGGCTCAGAGGTCCCCGTATCCCATGGGATCCCCCTGTCCTATGGCGTTCCCAATCGTTTGGGGTACTCAGAGGTCCCCCTGTCCCATGGGTTCCCCAGGAGTCCCCCTATCCCATGGGATCCCTCTGTCCTCTGGGGTTCCCCATCGTTCGGGGTGCTCAGAGGTCCCACTAACCCATGGAATTCTCCTGTTCCCCGGGGTTCCTAATGCTTTGGGCTGCCCATGGGATTCCTCAGTGCCATGGGATCCCCCAGTCCCATGAGATCCCTCTGTTCCCTGGGGTTCCCAATCCTTTGGAGTACCCAGGGGTCCTCCTGTCCCATGGGATACCCAGGAGTCCCCCTGTCCCATGGGATCTTCCCATCCCCTGGGATTCCCAGTCCTTTGGGGTTCTCAGGGGTCCCCCTATCCCATGGAATGCTCCTGTCCCCCGAGATTTCTAATTCTTTGGACTGCCCGTGGGATTCCTCATTGCCATGGGATCTCCTAGTCCCATGAGATCCCTCTGTCCCATGGGGTTCCCAGTCCTTTGGGGTACCCAGGCGTGCCCCTATCCCATGGGATATCCCTGTCCCCTCCAGTTCCCAATCCTTTGGGGTGCCCAGGGGTGCCTCTGTCCCCTGGGATACCCCTATCCCCGCTGTCCCCATCCCACCACACCGCTCCACCCCTCAGGTCCCATCACGCAGAAGACATACGCGGTGCTGCCATGCGGGGGCATCGGGGTGAGTCTGGGGGCGTGGGGGGGGTGTCCCCGGGGTGGGCTGTCCCTGCTGACCCCCGGTGTCCCCCCCCAGGTGGACAGTGACACGGTGTGGAACGAGCTGCACTCGTCGAGCGCGGTGCGCACGGCTGTGGGCTGCCTGCTCGAGCTGGCCTTCAAGGTGGCTGCAGGCGAGCTCAAGGTGAGCGTGGTCTTGCACACTTACCTGGGCTGTGACAGTCCCTGTGCACACTCGCGTGCATGTGTGTTGCCTTACACACTCACCTGGGGTGTGATAGTCCCTGTGCACACTCCTGTGTGTGTGTGTGCTGCCTTCACAGTCATCTGAGATGTGACAGTCCTTGTACACTCACCTGGGCTGTGACAGTCCCTGTGCACACTTAACTGAGGTGTGACAGTCCTTGTGCAAGCTTGTGTGTGTGGTCTTGCACACTCACCTGGGGTGTGACACTCATGTGCACGTGTGTGCTCCTTGCACACTTACTTGGGGTGTGACAGTCCCTGTGTACACTCCTCCGTGTGTGTGTGTGTTGCATTGCACACTCATCTGAGGTGTGACAGTCCCTGTGCACACTCGTGTGCGTGTGTTGCCTTCTTGCACACTCCGCTGGGGCGAGATGGTCCTTGTGCAAGGCTGAGCACGCATGTGCTGTTCTCTTGCACACTCCCCTGAGTGCAGGGCTCCTTGTGCCAGCTCGTGTGCAGAGGTGCTGCCTTCTTGCATGTGTCCCTCCCTGTGCCACAGGTGTCCCTCTCTCCTCACCACTCCTGTTCCTCTGTCCCATGCATATCTTTCTGTCCCACATGTGTCGTTCTGTGTCCCACAAGTGCCTCTGTCCCACGTGTCCCTTTGTGTCCCCGCACTACACGTCCCTTTGTGTCCCACACATGTCCCTTTGTGTCCCACACCTTCCTCTGTGTCCCCACCCCACGTGTGTCCCTCTGTCGCCACACTACATGTCCCTTTGTGTCCTTAAACCACTTCTCAGCATTGCAGTCACAGAATATTCTGAGTTGGAAGGACTTACAAGGATCATCAAGTCCAACTCTTCAGTGGATGGCCCTGTGTGTTCCTCTCTGTCCCACACATCTCCCTGTGTCCCATGCATGTTCCATTGTCCCTGTGTCCCACACGTGTCCCTGTCTTTCCCACACACATCCCTCTCTCTGTCCCCACAGAACGGCTTTGCGGTCATCCGCCCCCCCGGGCCACCACGCCGAGGAGTCCACAGCCATGTGAGTGTGGGGACAGCGCTGGGACCCCCGCCCAGGGAGGGGACCCCACAGTGTCCTGGGGGTCACCCCACCACTGAATGTCCCCTGTCTCTCATCCTCTTTTGTCCCCAGGGGCTTCTGCTTCTTCAACTCAGTGGCAATCTCGGCCAAGCTGCTGCAGCAGCGGCTCAGCGTGGGCAGGATCCTCATCGTGGACTGGGTAGGGAGGGCAGGGGGACCCCCCCACGGGTGATGGGGACCCCATGGGTGGGCGGAGGGATCCCTGACATCACGGGTGCCCCCCCCAGGACATCCACCATGGGAATGGGACCCAGCAGGCCTTCTACAGTGACCCCCACGTGCTCTACATCTCCTTGCACCGCTACGACGATGGCAACTTCTTCCCGGGCAGTGGGGCCCCTGAGGAGGTACAGGGGGGCTTGGGGGAGGGGTGGGGGTCCCCCTGTATCCCCCTAGCCCTGGATGTGGCACAGGGGGTCACCTGTGGCTGTGTCCCAGGTGGGCAGTGGGCTGGGAGTGGGCTACAACATCAACATTGCCTGGACTGGCGGCGTGGACCCCCCGATCGGGGACGTGGAGTATCTGACTGCCTTCAGGTGGGGGTCTGGGAGGGTGCCTGAGCCTTTGGGGGGGTCCCTGGGCTCAAGGGGAGTTGCTGGGTCCAGATGGAAGGGTCCCCCGGGTCTGGGGGGGGGGTTTGGTACCCGGGGGAAGGTCCCTGCGCCCTTGGGGGGGGGTTCTTGTGCCCTTAGGGGGGTCTCTACGTCTTGGGAGAGGGTTCCTGCGCCCCTTTAGTGGGGTCTCTGTGTCCTGGGGGGGTCTTTATGCCCTTGGGGGGGGTTCCTGCATCCTTGGGGAGGTGTCCCTGTGGAGGAAGGTCCCTGTGCCCTTGAGGGGTTTCTGCATCCTGGCAGGGGTGTGTCACCATGCCCTTGAGGAGGGGTCCTTGCACCCCAGGGAGTTCCGAGAGGGTCCTCACGCCCCTGGGGGAGGTCCCTGCATCCTGAGAGCATCCCTGTGCCCTTGGGGAGGGGTCCCTACAACCCAGGGGGATCCCCATGTCCTGGGGGAGGTTCTTTGTACCCTTGGGGTGGTCCTCCCAGAGGATCGCCATGTCCTGGGGGAGGACCCTGCACCCTGGGGGTTCCCCTACACCTTGGGGAGGGTCTCTGCACTCCTGGGGGGGTTCCCCACTCCCCAGAGGGGATCCCTGTGTCCTGCAGGGGGTTCCCAAACCCTAGAGGATCCCTGTGTCCTGGGAGTTCTCTGTACCCTGGGAAGGATCCTTGCCTGGATCCCCACAGCCCTCGGGGGGGGGTCCCCTTGCCCCTGGCTGACCCTGTGCCCCCCAGGACGGTGGTGATGCCCATCGCCAAGGAGTTCTCCCCAGACCTGGTGCTGGTCTCCGCTGGCTTCGACGCCGTCGAGGGCCACCTGTCCCCGCTCGGTGGCTACTCTGTCACCGCCAAGTGTGAGTGGGGTCCGGGGGCGTCCCGGGCTGGGGACCCCGGCTCAGCCACCCCTCACCCCCCCCCTCCCCGGTGCCCCCAGGTTTTGGACACCTGACGAAGCAACTGATGATGCTGGCGGGGGGCCGGGTGGTGCTGGCGCTGGAGGGGGGGCCACGACCTGACGGCCATCTGCGACGCCTCCGAGGCTTGTGTCTCTGCCCTGCTCGGCCTGGAGGTACGGTGGGGACCCCCTCAATCCCTGAGGACCCCACCCGGGGGCAGAGTGTATTGAGGTGCCCACCCCGTGTCGTGCCTCAGTTTCCCTGTGTGGGTTGGTGAGGGGCTGTGGTTCCATCCCTGCTCTCTCTGAGGGGGGTTTGGGGGTGCTGGTGGCAGTTTTGGGGGACTGATGTGTGTCCCCTCTCCCCAGCTGGAGCCCCTGGATCCATCCCTGCTGCAGCAGAAGCCAAATGTGAATGCGGTGGCCACACTGGAGAAGGTCATCGAGATCCAGAGTGAGAATGGGGGGCAGGGGCAGACCCTGATGGGGTCCCCTGGGGGGTCCCCAGGGCTGATTCAATCTTGAGGGGGCACAAGTCACTGGGGGACCCCAGCAGGGGGGGCCCTGGGTTTGTCCTTGCTGTGGAAGGAGCTGGAGGGTCTCCAGTGCTGCCACTGGGATCCTGAGGGGGTCCCCAGGACTGTCTCTCTTTTGAGGGAGGACTGAGAAGGGTCCCTAGGGCTGTCCCTGACATGGGGGTCTTGAGGGTGCCCAGGATCTGTCTCAGCATGGGGTTCCTGGGAGTCCTCTGAGTCTGTCCCTGCTGTGGGAGTCTCAGAGGTCCCCTGGGTCTATCTCAGCTGTTGGGGTCTCACGGGTCCCCTGGGTTTGTTCCAGTCCTGGGGGTCCTCTGGGTCTGTCCCTGCCATGGGGGTCCCCCAGCTCCATCTCAGCCATGGGGTCCCTGGGGGTCTCCTGCATCTGTCTCAGCCCTGGGGTTCTTGGGAGTCCCCCAGGTCCATTGCAGCCCTGGAGGTCCCCTGAGTTTGTCTCAGCCATGTGGTCCTTGTTCCCTGGGTCTATCTCAGCCATGGGGTCCCTGGGAGTCCCCTGACCTGTCCCAGCCCGGGTGTCCCCTGTCACGCTGCCCCCGGCAGGCAAGCACTGGGGGTCCGTGCGGCGTTTCGCAGCGGCCGTGGGCCGATCCTTGCTGGAGGCCCAGCGCAGGGAGGCCGAGGAGGCCGAGACGGTGACGGCCATGGCCCTGCTCTCAGTGGGCGCCGAGCAGGCCGGGGGAGACACTCAGCCCAGGTACGGCCCCTGGGGACCCCACTGGGTGTGCAGGCACACGGGTCATGGGGTGGGACACGTGTGTCACTGGGATGGGCATGGAGCCACATTGTGTCAGGGGGGGCTGCATGTTCCCTTGGAGATTTGCGTGGATCCGTGTGTGTCCTTGGGGGGACATGTCCCTGGTGGGGTACATGGAGCCACATGTATCATTGTGGGGAGGGACACGTGTCCCTGGGGTGTGATGGAGGGACATGTGTGTGTTCAGGGGGGACACACCTCACTGGGGTGGGTGTGGAGCCACATGTGTGTGTGTGTGTGTTCAGGGGGGACATGTGTCCCTGAGGTGGACACATGGAGCCACATGTGTCATTGTGGGGAGGGACACATGTCCCTGGGATGTGCAAGGAACCACATTGTGTCACGGGGGGGGCTGCATGTTCCCTTGGAGGTGTGCATGGATCCATGTGTGTCCTTGGGGGACACGTGTCCCTGTAGGTGTGCATGTCCTGAGGGCTCTGTATGGAGTCACAGGTGCCCCCTGGGGTGTGCATGGAGACATGTGTGTCATTGGGGGGGGGCTGCATGTTCCCCTAGGGGCATGCAAGAAGCCACCTGTGGCTTCTTGGACATGTGTGTCCCATGGGCTGTGCATGGAGCCATGTGTGTTCTTGGGGGACACACATGTCCCTGGGGGTGTGCAAGAAGCCTGGGATGTTCCCCTGGGATGCTCATGGAGTCACATGTGTGTTCTGGGACATGTGTGTCCCATGGGGGCTGTGCATGGAGCCACATGTGTGTGTTCAGGGAGGACATGTGTCCCTGGGGCTGTGCATGAAGCAGGTGTGTCCTGGGGGGGAGTGACAGACATGTGTGTCCGGGGGGAGGGGGGGGTGTGAAACACACGTGTCCTCCACCTTGGCGTGTCCCTCCCCTTCCCAGGCCAGTGGAGGAGCCGATGGAGGCTGAGCCTACGCTCTGACCCACCCGCATCGTTCCCGTCTCTGAAAAAACCAAGAAACACCCAGAAGAGACGAAAAAACTCACACACACACACACACACACACACACACACACACACACACACACACACACAGAGAGAAAAAAATCACAGTAAAAGGGGAAAAAAAGCACTTAAAAAAAAAGACCAAAAAAAAAAAAGACAAAAAAAAAGACCAAAAAAAAAAAAGACAAAAAAAAAAAAGGAAAAACCGGAAGGAAAACCAAAAAAAAAAGGAAAATATTTTCTTTTTCTATTAAAAAGGGGAGAAAACCAAAAAAAAACTCCCCCCCCCCCCGGTCCAGTGCCCCCCCCCGGCTCCCCCGCGGTGTTTGCGGTTGTGTCTCTTGTGCAGCAGCGGTTCCACCAGCACCCCGTGTCCCCACCGTGTCCGTCGGGTCCCCCCCGTCACTGCCCGGACCCCCCTGGCGCTCCTCTCTCTTTTTTTTAGGGACTTTTCCTTAATTCCCCCTCTATTTTTTGTGTGTGTGTGTCCCCCTTTGTTCCCTCCTCGGCTCTGGCATTTGTTCCCCCCCTGTTCCTCTAACCCCACCCCCAGGGGAGGCGATGGGAAATATTTGTGCCTTTAATTATTTTTTTTTAATGCCTTAATTTCCCTTAATTTTGGGTTTTCTTAATTTTCTTGGGTTTTTTTTTCCCCTCGGCCTCCCTGTTTGGGACAGGGACACGAGACAAAGGGATGAGCTCTGTGTGTCCCCCCCCTCGATCCCTTTGTCACACCTTCGTTGGGATCAAATTTTTTCTTAGAGGAGGAAAAAAAAAGAGACACAAAAAAAAGAGAAAAAACCACTTAATTTTCCAGTTTTATCACCAGCTAGAGGGGCCTCGGAGCGATTTTAGCTTTAAAAGAGAGAAAACTACCCAACCACCCCCCTAAAAAGGGATATAATTTTATTACAGATGGATTATTTAATAGTATTTTTTTAATGGGGGGGTGGAGGGGCGGGGACAGGGACAGCGCGTCGTGGGTTATTTTGGGGGTGACAGGAATTTGGGGGGAGTCCCCAAATTAGGACAGAGGGATGAGCGTGTCCTTGGTCACCTCTCCTAACCCTGGGTGGGGGGGAAAGTACCCCGGTTTAGGGTGAGGAAGGGAGGGGTGTCACTGTGAGGACCCCAGTGTGGGTGTCCCCAGTGTTGGGGACACCCCGTGTGTGGTGGTGGGGGGGGGGTCCCAGATCCCCATCCCGGGAAGGGGAAACACCCCCGGGATGGGGGGGAAGGGGGTGTCGGCCCCCCAGCAGTGTGCCCGGCTTGCTTTGGGCTGGTGTCCCCTCCACCCCCGTGTGTCCCCCCGTGTCCCCCCCTCGGTTGCTGTCCGTCCCACCCCCCCGCTCACGCTCGCTCTGGGTCTCGGTTCAGTATTTTGTAAGATGTCACCGATGTTCGTCCTTGTATAAATAAACTGTTTCTGGCAATACCCGCCGGCCCCCACTGCCTTTGGAGGGTGGGGAGGGTCCTCGTGTCCCTGTTCCCATCCCTTGGTGTCCCCAAGGCTTCCTGGTGTCCCCTTGTGCCTCGGTTTCCCCACCTACAGCAACTGGTGCAGGGAGGGGACCAACGTGTCCCCCCCAGCGTGTCTGGAGGGGCTCTGTCACACCCCCCTGTCACACCCCCCCCACTGTGGCTGGGGGGGCTCTGTCCCCGTCCCAGCCCTGCCCTGGGACCCCCTAGCTCTGCCTGTGCGCCCCCCCTTCCCCCCCCCATCTTTGCAGGACTCGGCCCGGTGGGTTGGTTTTGGTGCTTTATTTGGTAAGAAACGAGGTGACCCCCCCCACCTCCGGTGGTATAAGGGGGGCTCCCGGCGTTGGGGAGGGGGGTCCCATCCCTGCTCCAGAGAGGGGAGAACTGGGAGAACTGGGGTAGCTAGAGGTGTGGGGGTTGGCAGGTCAGTGACCCCCGGGCTGGGGCTGTCCCTATGCTGTGTCCCCAGACCTGCTGGGCACGGGGCATCCCCAGCTCTGCCCCCCCCGGGGGGGTCCTGCTGCCCGGGGGAGGGGGGACAGGGCTGTTAGTGCAACAACTGGGGAGGTCTGGAGGGGTTCCCCTGGCCTGAAGCCACCGGCGATGGGCACAGCAAAGGGCAGAGCCGGGAGGGGGGGGTGAAGATGAAGCGTGACAGGAGGGGGATCCCTGCTCAGTGTGGGGGGTCCCTGGGGGCAGGTGAGGATGAGCAGGGACTCTCCTCCTCAGTCTGAGGGGTCTCGGGGGCAGGTGAAGGTGAGGATGAGCCAGGGCAGGAGGGGGGACCGCAACTCAGTGGGGGGGGACCCTGGGCGCAGCTGCGGATGAGCCAGGGCAGGGAGTGGGCACCCCCCTACTCAGTGTGGGGGGCTCTCAGATGAGCCGGGGCAGGTCAGGGATCCCCCTACTCTATGAGGTCGAGAACAAGCCAGAACAAGGGCGGAGGCCTCCTAATTGGTGGTGGTGGGGACTTGGGAGGGCTCCAGGAAGCTCCTGAGGGCGATGACTAACCGGGGCAGGACTGAGACCACCAGGAAGGGCCCGGCCGCGTAGTGCACGACCACGTGCCTGTACAGGGCGGCCGCGTCCGAGGGCCTGGGCAGCCTGTGCACCAGCTGCAGGGCCAGCAGGGCCAGCACCGTGCTCGCCACCCGCAGGCGGCCATCCAGGAGCTGCTCCTCGTCCCGGCGGCGCGGGGGGGGTCTCGGCGGCCAGGGCCAGCCCCAGGGCACTGCCCACCACCCGGCACAGCGAGGCGAAGGGCCGCGTGTCTGGCCGCAGCCACGCCGGGTCCGAGCACCAGGCGCTGGCCAGGCGGAGGGACCTGCGGGGGGGGCTCCACGGTTGGTGTTCCTCCCACCCCAAAAAGAGGCTGGGGGTAGGTCTTTGGGGTAGCCCCCTCCTCAAATGGGTTGGGGGTAGGTCAGAGTGGATCCTGGCAGTCTGGGGGGCAGATCCCTAGGGATAGCATCCCCCCCCATCCCCAGATGTCTGGGGGCAGATCCCTGGGGATAGGACCACCCCCCACCTCCCAAAAACAGTGTAGGGGCAGATCCCTGGAGTTACTCCCATCCCAAAATAGTCTGGGGGCAGATCCCTGGGTATAGTACTCCCTGAAGAACAGCCTGGGGGTAGATTCCTGGGGTTAGTACCCCCCCAAACATCCCAAAAAGAGTCTCAGAGGAGATCTCCGTGTAGCCCCCTCCCCAAATGGTCTGGGGGCAGATGCCTGGGGCTGGATCCCAACAGCCTGGGGGACAGATTCCTGGGGGTAGTACTCCCTGAAAAACAGCCTGGGGGGAGGTTCCTGGGGTTATTACCCTCCCCTCAAACATCTGGGGACAGATCCCTGGGGATAATACCCCCGCAATAAAAACAGTCTCGGGCAGATCCCCGGGGCTGTTCCCTCCAGAACCTCCCAAAAACTGTGTAGGGGGCAGATCCCTGCAGTTAGT